CCACCCCCCCATACACACACACACACACACACCTATGTCAGACACCTCCGCCCTCTCCTCCCGCCTCGCCGGAGTGCTGGCCCTGGACCTCGACGCGCCTGCCCTCGCCGCCACCCTCACGGCCTACACGCCGACTTCCCCCACCACCACCACAGCCACACCCGCCACCACCACAACCACGTCCTCCTCCCCCTCCTTCACCGCCACAGCTCCGGCAAGGGGCCTGCCGCTGGCCGAGGCGCTGCGGTCGCAGCTGGAGAGCGCAGGGTTGGACTCGCTGCGAAGCTTCCTAGCCGCCCACGCCCCGCTGGAGGAGGAGCTGGACGGGCTCGACGCCGCCATTCGCGCCCTGCATGCCCGGACGGCGGCGACTCAGGCGCGGTACCAGGCTGCTGTGGGCGAGACGTCCGGGCTGGTGGCGCGCGCTGGCTCGCTGCAGGCCCAGGCTGCCATCGAAGCCGACAAGGCTACCATTGTCTTGGCCTTTCTGGCTGCCTATCAGCTCACTCCCGACGAGGAGGCTGCGCTCAAGGCGCCCGCGCTCTCCGAAGCCTTCTTTGCCGCCCTTGACCGTGTCCGCGCCATCAAAGCCGCCTGCCACGACGAGCTGCGCCCGGCTCCGTCTCAGCTCGCCGGACTAGAGATCATGGATCAGATGGCGGTGCTGGAGAACGAGGCCTACGAGCGCCTCTATCGCTGGGTCCAGTCCGAGGGCCGCTCGCTCGACAAGGACGTGGCTGAGATCCCAGACCTGCTCCGCAAGGCTGTGGTCGCGCTCAAGCTCCGCCCGGAGCTCTTTCAGTGCTGCCTGCAGGAGGTCGCCTCTGCCCGCCACACCGCCGTCGTTCGTGGCTTCCTCGACGCCATCACCCGCGGCGGACCGTCGGGCATGCCGCGGCCCATCGAAGTTCATGCCCATGACCCGCTCCGCTACGTCGGCGACCTCCTCGCCTGGCTCCACCAGGCTGTCGCCTGGGAGAAGGAGCTGGTCTCGGTCCTTTTTGCCGGCGCGCCGGCTCCGGCTCCGGCTCCGGCGTCGGCCACCGGCTCGCCTCCGCGCGCCGCGCCCGACGCCGACTTTCTCGAATCGCCACAGGCTCTACTCGCTCACATCTTCCAGGGCGTCTGCCGGACCTTTCAGGTCCGCTTTGAGCAGTCTCTGGCCCAGCTCGGCGCTGGCTCCGCCGCTCCTGGCTCCGCCGCTGCCGGCTCCACTGCTGCCGCCCGCGCCGCCGCCCGCTCCTCACCCAAGTCGCTCTCCACCCTCTTCTCGCTCTCGAACCTCCTCCAGTTTTACACCGTCACGCTCGGCGCCTTCCTCGGCGAGTTTGCGCCGCTGGTCGAGTGCATCGGCGTTTGTCGCGGCCGCGCCGAGGCTCTCTTTCAGCAGCAGCTCAAGGGTCTCGCCGACGCACTCGTCCACCGCCCACCGTCGGTTCCGTCCTCGCTCCGCCCGCCACCCGTCCTCGACACCACCGTCGCCCAGCTCTCCGAAGTCATGCTCACCTTTTCCGGATCGCTGGTCCCCGAGGACGAGCGCGAGTCGCAGTTTGCGCCCATCCTCGACCTCGTCCTCCATCCTCTCATCAAGGCCTCCACCCTCTCTGCCGTCGCCCTGCAGCCGGCAGACATGGCTGTGTACATGCTCAACTGCCTGGGCCTCATGCACGCTGCCCTCGCAAAGTACGCATCCTTTACCGCCCCGGCTCTAGAGCTCGTCACCGGCCAGATGGACGCCCACTTGCACACGCTCGTCGAGGAGCAGGCTCAGTCCATCCTGTCAGGCTGCGGCGTCCTCAGCAAGCTCGCCGTCGCCCAGGAGCACAATCCAACGACCGCCGGCCCGCTTTCCCGCGTCGACGGCATGGCCCGAGACGACATGGCCGCCGTCATGCGCGCCTTTGACGCCCTCCTCTCAGCCACCTCTGTCCTCGTCATGCCCGAGGCTGAGCGCCTCGTCGACCCCACCGCTCGCCAGAATGTCCGCTCACAAGTGGCAGAGTTTATCGCAGACGCCTACGCCCGCATCTACGACGCCGTCTGCGACGCCCGCAACGGCTACGGCAACCCGGCGTCCATCCTCCTCCACTCGCCCGACGAGATCAAGATCCTGCTCCGCTGAACTCCTCTCGCTACGTGCCAGCCAGGTACGCTTCCAACAGCGCCAGCTCGTCTTGGCCCACTACGTCGCGGAGGAGTTGCACCACTGCCTCGGTGCTCATCCGATGCTCGCCGTCGACCTCCCGGCCGTGCTCCTGCACCAGCACATGCGCCTCAGACTCGGTCATGCCGAGCTCGGTCACCACCTCGGCGAGCTCGTCACCGGAAAACGAGCCGCGGCCCTCGTAGTCAAACTCGTTCAAAATGTCCCTCAGCCGTCCACGCTCCGCCATCGCCGCAGCCACAGCGCCCGCCAGATGCGGCAGCGTCTCGTCGTCCACAACAGAGCCCATCACCCCCTCCAGCTTGTTGATCGCCACCGTCTCGGCGCCTTGCATCATGATACGCGCAAGGCTCTTGGCTCCTGCTGCGTCGCCGTCGCACACCACTCGCGTCAGCTCCAGCAACTCGGCGTAGCCTAGCTCGCCAGTGGATCCTATGTCGACAAGTTCCAGCACTGAGCGCAGCGTCTCCGCCTCGGGCGCAGCGTCCGAAATCCGTCGCACTGCCTCGGGCGATAACCGCTCCACCAGCTCGGCGTGAAGCTGCACAACCGACGCATTCTCGCCGACTGCGTCCACCACTTGCGCTTGCCCAGCCCCATCACCCGGCATGGCTGCCTCGAGGACCATAGCCATCGCGCTCGCATCCAGCCGCCCGTTGCAGAGCGGATCAAACGCCTCCAGCGCGCCAAGCAGGTCGCGCGAGACCTGCGCCTCGCGCGCCCGGTCCTCGTCGACCTCGTCGTCCGAATCTTCGTCCGAAAACTCGACGTGGGGCGACGTCGAGAGCGTCCGCACCAGTACGGGTGCACTGCGGGCAAGCGCAGCGAGCTCAACTGGCCCAACATGGGCCTCTAGCGCGCGAGAGAGCTCGTCAATATCGGCCCGGCCGACCCCCGCCGTCAGCTGCTGTGCGAGTTGGTCGCCACCCTCGTCGCCGAGAATCGTCTGCGCCAGCGCGAGCGTGGTCGCCACATCAAACGAGCCGATGCTCTGAGGATCGTAGGCGCGGAGCACATCCGCCACCGTCGCTTCTGTTGGCAGCGACGCCGCCTTGGCCGCAAGCGCTTCCAGCAGCTGTGGCGTCATCTGCGGGGCGAGCACAACCGCGAGCTCGGTGGCACCCACACTCGCGCCGTTGTCGTTATCGAGCGAGTCGAGGAGAAGCCCGGCGTGGTCGGCGTCGCCAGAGCACGCAATGGTGCAAATAGTCTGCTGCGCGGCGCGGGTAAACGTACCATCACGCTTCGCAAACCGACACAAGACCTGCTCCAGCGTCAGAGACTCCTCCGCCGCGGCTTGAGCCGCGTCGTCGTCCGATGTCACGTCGACTACATCCACCAGGTCACTGCTGGAAGACTCGCCTTCCGTGTCCTCATCGGCGCTAGACTTGTCGTCGTCATCGTCGTCGGTGGTGCTGATGTCAGGATCGCCATCACTGTCACTCGCGTCTTCCAGCTCGACCACATCACTGGTCTTGCCTCTGCTGCCAGCAGTCAGTTCCGGGTCAGAGTGCGAGATCGGACCGACACCACGGGTGACGGCCAGTGCAAGCTCATCAAGAATGGCCGGCGTGATCTGGGCGTCTAGAACGGCTGCAAGCTCATGCAGATCAACAGGCTCGCCGTCTTCGCCCAGCGAGTCGACAAGGAGCTGCGCGTAGTCCTCGTCGCCGCCGCACACAATAGTGCAGATGGTCGGCAGCGCAGCGAGCGGGACGGTGTTCTTGCTCCCAAACCGGGCCAGGACGCCTTCCAGTGAGACCGGTGTGTCGTCATGGTCGGGCAGGGGCGAAACAATGGTCTCGGGTCCAACTCCTGTCGCTGCCGCCGCCTGCGCCATCAGTGCATTAAGGATGTCCGGCGTGACCTGCGCCTCAAGCACAGCCGCAAGCTCGTCTGGATCCACAGCCTCGCCGCTCTCGGCCAGTGAGTCGACCAGCAGCTCGGCGTAGTCGGCATCGCCGCCGCACACAATGGTGCAGATGGTCGGCAGTGCATCAAGCGGGACCGCCGACCCGTCGCAGAACTGCGCCAGAACACTCACGAGGTCTGTCGCAACCGGCGCCGACTGCGGCTCGCTCACCACGTGCGGCGCAAACGCCGCCGCCTCGTCTTCGTCCAGCACCCGGATGTCCTCGTCCGACGAGTACACCGAGTCAACCATAACCACCGCCAGCTCGGTCGGCGGCTGCGCAGCCTCTGCCTGCATCTCGTCGTCGAGATCAATTACCAACATCGAGCCTGACGACTCACCGCCAACCGAGATCGTTGACCCACCATCGCTGTCATAAGCATCCGCGTTGCTATGCAGCCCTGTCAACGGAGAAAACGGTTCTGGATCGACAATGCCGGCGAGCGCAGCCTCGAGCTCTGAGTCAAGGTCGTCGTCGTCGTCGTCATCGTAATCGTCATCGTCGTCGTCGTCGTCGTCATCATCATCATCATCATCATCATCATCATCATCGTAATCGTCATCATCGTCGTCGTCATTATCGTCATCGTCATCGTCATCGTCCTCTTCGAACAGTACAGCGTCCACGCTGCCAGGACCGCCGACTCCGGAGCCAAGCCAAGCAAAGCCACCAACTGGACAAATCCGCTGGTGGGCACGAGCCGCAGCACGGGAATCACGGACAAGCTGCTGCAGGCGCCTGATCTCCGCCTTGAGCACATCGACCGAGTCCGAGGCCCAGACCTCGGCGCTGACGAGCTCGACTTCGGAGCTCGATTCGGGAGAGACCACCGACGAGACAGCTGATCCGCTTGGTGAAGCCGATGACGCCCGCGAGCTCACATACTGCGCGCGGCGAACAGCAGCAGCACGGCCCATGATCCTATCGGCCTGAGCCAAGACGCCTGCCACCGACGACGATGAGTACACTCTGCGGGCAAGAGCTGGAGAGCCTGTCGCCAGAGCACTAGCCCTTCCAGCAGCTAGAGCCACGTGCCCGGAAGAAATACGCTGCCTGCGCGAGGCAGACACGGCCGCACCCATTGACGACGACGACGACAGTCTGCGGGAGATCGAGGTTGACGAGCCAGTGCGGACAGCATGGACCGAACGGACAGACTGGACAGTTCGGACCGAGTACCCATGCTCACCACCCATGACGACACCGGTGTCCGCCAGAGCAAAGCAAAGAGGGGTGAGAGGGGTGGTAGGGGTAGGGGTAGGGGTAGGGGCAGTGGAGGACGGGGGGGGGGGGGAGT